GTCAAGTCCCACATATCCACAAAGGAATGGTATGGCTGAACAAACTGTGCAGACAGTCAAAAATCTCATCAAAAAAACACTGCAAGATGGTGAAGACCCATATTTGGTGCTCCTCAATTTTCGCACATCTCCTACAGTGGATGGTGGTCCTTCACCAGCTTTCAAGCTCATGCAACCGAACCCAAGAACCTTACTACCATCTGCAAAGCCATACCGCGTCAAAGCCCCTAACTATTCATCAGCATACTACAATCAAGGTGCAAAGTCCCTACCAAGCCTAAGCGCACACGATACTGTCAGAATCCAGAACGGAACCTCATGGGCTACCAAAGGCAAAGTCATTGAACCACTTGAATATCCACCTCGGTCCTACACCGTCGAAACTGAAAGCGGACACAGACTTGTGACCTTTTAAGCACCAAAGAGGAGTTTACTCCATCTCCAGCAATCGGCATTGCTCAGCCTTCAACAAACACATCCGTAGAACAGGATCAACACTCCACTGACCCGCACTCCACCTACGGTGAGGAGTCACAGCCAACACCCTCTCCAATATACACACGATCCGGTCGACAAGTGATCAGACTGATCCTATTTAAGGACTTTGTATGAACACATAGTTATAAAATACTATAAACCTCATAGTGGTATACCATATATATACAACATGTATTCAACTGTTATAGGAAAAGGGGGATGTCATGATTGTTATGTAATTACGTAGTTGTCAAAGGTAGTTTACTTAATTAACCAATCAATCACACCGTTTATATCAGGTTACAGTTTTGTACTTAAAGGTTTAGACATGATAGAATAAATCTATTCTTCTGTCCAAACTTCTGGTCTGATCTTTACAGGGGGGGCGGTGGTGGGTGATTTCAGAAAAAAACAACATTCTGCTGACTAATTTCGAGAGGAAAAAATTTCCTATACTGAAAAAAATCTGTTATGACTTACAATCATGGAAAATATTATTTTACACAGTTGTATGTCAGGGAAAAAAATTCTATCACCTGAGGTTTGAAGAAAAATATTCATTCTCACTCAAACCATCCTCAAAAGTCAAATGGTTGGTCCCTAATGGTTAAAGTCATTTCTTTGTTTCAGCTGACAAACGAAATAAACCAGCAAAAAGTACCACACAGCTGTGTACCCAGCTGCCAAGGTTGCACGACCTTCTGCAGTTTATCTGTGGCAGTCTATTCCTCCCAAGCGATGGGCTGCTCAAGATCAGTTTCACCAATTCGACACTTTCTGACCAAGAGTCTTGTTTTTCGACTATTAAACTGCCTCTCCATAGAAACGACTGTCAGGCATTTGAGACCTCAATGAACATTGCTGTCAACTGTCAGCACCAAGGTTATGGCCGTGGGTGAAGTTTACATAAGAGATAATAATGAACATTGTTTACCATGCTTTTGATTTGTTGCTGTTCTTATTCAGTTAAAAAGTGGCCCATGAACATTCAGTTCTATCATCATTGACTAATGATTGTGAACCAGACAAATAAAAGCATGCAAAGAAAAAAAAAGAAGTATTTTGTACATGTTCCTATTTCAAGCAAAAAGTACTTATTTTGCCCTCAAATCACATCATTTGAACTTAGAGAGTCATTTGTTTTTCTTCATGGAATGCTTCAATAAAGAGTCACTCCCCGAGGTATTCCCACAACATAATGGTTTTAGTGCAACTAAATTGATTGTGAAAAACACTACACCTAAGCTACCCTAAGGGACGGTTCATTATTTATGGGAATGACCAGGTCAGGAAAAAACCGAACGGGCTTTGAAAATTTTTCTTGCCGTGGCGACGGGCCTTGTGTTTTTTCTTGAACAAAGAGACCGGGCTTTAAAAAAAATCAACATAAACTAAAACTGTGGTAGAAACGCGGCAGTCGTTTGATGAGAACAACACATGGAAACTGTATGTCATTGAAAATTCACCCGGTAAATTGTTGTACTTTCATATCAAATAAATATTGCAACAATATTTTGAGTAATGCAGGGATATACCCGCAAGAAAAAGCCGGCGCTTTGCGATCAAACACTCGAGAATTTTGACAGGCCATGGAATGACACAAATGTACTTTGTGAGCTGCTCTTTTATAGTTGTTTATATTCCGTGACATTTCAGAGCTTGTAATTAAATTAGAATTTCAAATGATGCATGGACAAGGATTTTAATCAAAGTGAACTCCAACGGTTGGAATATTAAATCTTCGGACTCCGCCAGACTGTACACAAGAAAACAAGATGATTTGATCGAGGATCTCGAGTTGCAACTCCTACCTAATTGAAAATATTTTTTCTGCACGCACCACAGTGCCGCGGAGTCTGCCAGCCAAGTTCTGTTTATTTCATGCAAAAATAGGTTTACATTCTTATCTGTCTCGGAAATAAACTTTTATTATTGAAAAACGTGAACAATTTTTGTATCTTGTAAATGTGAGAAGCTGTGACATTATAAAGCTGTTAATTCATACTTAACAACTGAGCAGTCCGCAAAGTCTTTGATGCCTAGCGTCTTGAGTTAATTTTCACTGATTGAACAATGATAAAGCTAATCAGAATCTTCGTCTAAAGCCTGGGAAGCGGAAGTATATCCTTTAAAAGTTTTTACTTTCTCACGCCTGATTTCGAGTCGTTCATCTATCTTGACCGCGTCTTCGGCAAAAAAACCTTCCTTCCTTAAAAAAGAGAGGGAGTTATAATGCGAACGCGGTTGCAAGGTCCTCAAAACAGAGAAATTTATTTCTTGCAATTCCAATGCCCTCTTTAACTTCAACTCGCCGCCGTCATCAATGTCAGCCACCACAGTAAAGACTTCTTCGTCTTGACACAACAACTTAAGGAGATCTCTTGTTCTGGTTTGCTGGGCGTAGATTTTGCGTTGTTTGGTCTTACTCGCATTGTCGCGTTTTCGTTTCCGTTTGCGCCTAGCTTCTGCACTTGCAAGGCTGAATTTGTGCTGATCGGCCAACTTCTTTTGGGTTTCTAAGATCTCTTCTTCCAGGGATTGAAATTTGTCTTTCAGATCGGAGGTTGTAGCTAATGTTTTTTGAGAATAGGCAAACTGCTCCTTTGCCCATGACTTTAATGTGACACTTGATGGTTCAAAGAATCCTTCCTTTTGGTGCATTTATGACTTGTGAACCTGTGCCAGTTGATTTAATTTGGAGTCAATCTCTTTAATCGCAGAGATACATGTTGTGGCATCTTAAGGCCTTGATGGATTTGGCAAAGTTCTCCCACGAGCCATGTAGTTCTTTTCTGACATGTCCATCATTCTCGTCACCGAAACGTTCAAACTTTCCAAAATCTCTTTTCTTTCCCACCTTTCCCGCCTTTCTTTGATCCAATAGGCTTCAAAGCGAGTCAGCAAATGAGGATAGGTGGACTCATAGGTTTGTGGGAGAAGGCTGTTAAAAAACTTCTGCTGAGGAAATCTCGGATGTGGGATAAGAAGTCGTTTCCACGGTACGTCTGGATCTGCAGGTTCTGGTTGCAAAACCATGGATAAACTACCACTCTGAAATGTTAGTTTGGTCTGCCGTGCTTGCCTGGAGTTCTCTTTCTGAGGATGTGTACTAGTGGAGGCCGCTTTAGGCGCTTCTCAAAGTTTAAAACAAGTTTACGCTTGTGGCCTGGTAGCACAATTCCCACATGTTTCTCTATTTCTTCCTCGGACAGAGTAACTACTGTCTCCAGATCATCAACTCCTGATACTCGAAAATTATCGAGGTACCGAGACAAATTTAAACGGCTCAAAAACGTTTCAAGGCTTTCATCCATCGCAGTTTGCTAACCAAAGACTTTCTGAATTCTGCGTTTGACTTTACATACACACAGCCATCTATCAACAGCGTGAACACATGGTGAGGAAAAACATGGTTTTATAGGTTCAGTCTTTTGAAAGAATGCAGGCAATGGTTCGCGTGACTGGGGGGTTGGCGCCAAAGTGACTAGTTACGGCCAGTGGCTAGTCATTTGACCGCTCGCGGGGAACGCTTTCTGACATGTAAACTTTGAAGTTTGACAGCAAATCATGCAACGTTTGATATCTGAACAACCGAACATGTTTTTGTTACTCTGTTAAAGATTTGCCTGATCCCACGCAATGTGTTAATATGTACACAAGCGAAAGTTTTCTGATAACAGTTTAAAAACAACATGGTGTTGCAAATGTTTTCCCGTATTGCTAGGTGCTACTTCAGAGAGATCAATCGCACGTTTATGCAACCAACGAAAACGTCTAGTGGTAGTTTATGGTTCTATGAGGAAAAATCTCTGTATAGAGATGATCATTCTTGGCAAAGCACTGATACGTGTAGAAACGTGTTTTGGGGAGCTGTGGCGACTTTTTCTGTGGTTTTTGCAGTGCAAAAACGTTGAGCATTCTGCACTAATGACCCCATAAAAGAAAAACTGGGAGCTCCTTGTTGTGTACGGATACCTGGCCAACTCGCTCTGCCTTTAGGAAACAAAGCAAAACGGAAGAAACCTCTGAGGGTGGTTACTTAAGAAAATCATTACAGGAACTTGGCCCAAGTGCCAGCATGGAATTTCTTGTGAATGAACTTCAGAGATATAGTCAGCAAAAGCAGCCGAATCGGCAGAAAGTGGATAAATACAAGGGTCTCTTGGAACTTCTTAAATTCTTGGTTGTTGTAGAAAGCCCAATCAGTTTTGAAGAAGCATTCGAAACCTATGATGGGCATCAATCATATTGGCAGGACACGCTGGCAGGAAAGCTAGAATTTCGAGATCATCTTCTTCATCCTGTGCACGGGCTTCCCGTTTACGTTTTGTTCAAACCTAATCACTTTCATGTTGTTGCTATTCGTCCTGATGGAAGTCATCATACAGAATCTTTGCTGCAGTGGTTACTTTTAGACCACAACCGACCAAGTGATGATATTGTCGATGAAAACAAGGGCCTTACACTAAACGCTAGCAACACAAGTGCGATTTTAGAGTCTATGGATACTNCAAAGCAAAACGGAAGAAACCTCTGAGGGTGGTTACTTAAGAAAATCATTACAGGAACTTGGCCCAAGTGCCAGCATGGAATTTCTTGTGAATGAACTTCAGAGATATAGTCAGCAAAAGCAGCCGAATCGGCAGAAAGTGGATAAATACAAGGGTCTCTTGGAACTTCTTAAATTCTTGGTTGTTGTAGAAAGCCCAATCAGTTTTGAAGAAGCATTCGAAACCTATGATGGGCATCAATCATATTGGCAGGACACGCTGGCAGGAAAGCTAGAATTTCGAGATCATCTTCTTCATCCTGTGCACGGGCTTCCCGTTTACGTTTTGTTCAAACCTAATCACTTTCATGTTGTTGCTATTCGTCCTGATGGAAGTCATCATACAGAATCTTTGCTGCAGTGGTTACTTTTAGACCACAACCGACCAAGTGATGATATTGTCGATGAAAACAAGGGCCTTACACTAAACGCTAGCAACACAAGTGCGATTTTAGAGTCTATGGATACTAAATGGGATCGCAAATGTGCGCGTGTAATCCTTACCTCATCTAGATCGAACTCTGAACTAGAAAATCTCGGTTTGGATGCAAACAGTGTTCGCAGTGCTAGTAAAGTGATTGTGAATGGAGTGTAAGAATGTGAGAACGCAAAATTAGCAGCAAAAGACATGGTCAATTTGAGAATTGATTCTAAAGTGAAACACCTTGCCCAGGAAATTGTCTCCATGAAAGATCTCCATCCAAAAAGAGAAATACTTGGACTAGTGAACGATTAAAGGAATTGGAAGACAAGATTGAAAATGCAGAAAAAGCAAAGTAAATGCTCTGTAATCTCCAACTCAGCGAGACTAAATATTCACAGCAGAGACTTCAGCAGATGCAGAAAAGAACAGCTACCAAACTTCTTGAAGAAAACAGAGTGAAAAGAAGACGCCTAGGAGCAGGGGCTAATAAAAAAGTAGGCGGAGCTTGTGAAGAGTTTATTGCAAAAGCTATCGAATCAAAGGCAACGTATCATGGTCGGCGCAAAGAAACTGTAATGTTTACCAACAGAAGGGTAAAGGTCCGTGATTTGTTAAACATTGCAAACTATGACCCGACAAAACGCGATAAAGCACCGATCTCATCAGCGGCTACTGCTTGGAATCGTTTGAGGCCGCCAAATAAAAGAAGCATACAAAGCGCAAAGCACAAGGGACATGCTTTATTTTGTACTAAAAAACCACCAAAGACACAAGACCAAATGAACGAAAGCACCCATTACCAATGTGCACATGTTCGTAATATAAAGACTACTTTTTTTGGCTCATCAACACCAGACAATATCCGCGAACTAAGTTTTATGCGATCAATAGACGACAAAGCGTATTTGAGGCCTGGAAGCTCAGAGGGTTTCGCTAAAACTAGAAACTTACGGATTCTAACCTTATCTGCTGAAGAAAAAGCTCGAAAACTCCCTAAATATGACTGGCTGGAAAGTAAAATGTACATAACACCCTCCACCCATCGAGTTTTTACGCAAAAACCAGTTGCTATTGACAAGGAAGAAAAATTGTTTATGCAAAATGATAGACACCTTGTTGTTATTTGACCCAAAGCCTATGTTGACTCATCAGGAAACACTTGGGTAAATGTAACAGAAAGGCTACGGCTGGTTTTTCCTGATGATTTTGAGGCTAAAGATCTAGGAAACTCTTATTCAAAATATTTTCGATCACTTTGTGCCGCTGTCCAAGATGATGTCTTCTTATATGCTGACATGACGGAAGAAGGTGATGTACTTAAGGTAACGGGAAATAACAATTACAAGCATCGTTTGTATGAAAATAATCAATTACAGCATTTGATAAGGCGAGGAGAAATATCAGAATTGCAGTGGAACATTAACTGTCATCTCTGTTCTGAATTCGAGAAAATGAAAGGAAATGAACTGATTAAAAAACAGAAAGATCTTTCTGCAGCTGCAGTCGCAATTTTGTCCCAAGGAAATGTCAAAAAAAAGCCTTTGGGAAGACTTCACGAAATATGTTCTTCCAAAAGCCAACTTTGTCCTCGACAACATTGTTGAACTGAAATTGCCCCCTGTAAAACCCAATTGGGCACATTTAACTGACGCCGGACCAGGCGTAGGGGTATCAAATTTTGAGATGAAATTTCGGGACGCCGAATTAGCGCGTGTACACAAAAGTGATTATCGTATTCGTGTCCATCGCTCTCGTGCAGACAGCGGGCAAAACGAAGCAGAAAGGACGAACTCTGCCATTGGTGATAGTGTGGTCGATGGTGGCACTATTGATTGGAACTTTTATTAACAGTTTGATGATCTCACCGATCAAGAGATTGCAGAAATGACACCACAGGGCTTTGAAGTGTACGAGAAATGTCGTATGTCCAAAAATGCGTGGCGAGTGGCAGAGATGGTCAGGGAGAGGTAGATTCTGTTATAGCGACCCGAATTAATTTGGGCAGTGAGCTCTTTATGGAGTACTTGTAGGGTGACTGTTCTACAGCCATCACTGAACGTTGTTCATTTTGTTCTAACAAAGGATGGACAAGTCCAGTGCCCATGAAACGTATTCCCCAGCCTGTGCCAGATCCTGAAAATCCTACCCATTTTAAATCGATCAATGACACACCAACTACCACAGAAAACGGGCAGCCTCGAGTGCCCGATGATTTTCAGCCACGTGCAAACATAAAGAAAATGTTTAGTGACAGCATGTTAACAACGGAAGAAGAGCTCCAGCAGTTTTCGGAGATATTTGCCGTGGAGCCACACTTGATCAAGGCATACATTGCCCATTTAGAAAATCTTAAAATACAAAGCGGCATTAGAACAAGGGGGCGCGCAGAACAAAAGCGTAAAATGATGTCCAAAACGTTTGAAGAATATGCCTGGCGCGATCTCGTAGAGTCTGGAGATTGAAAAAAGTTGCTTGCATCTGAGCAGAATAAATACCTTAAACATTACAAACTCGTAAGCAGCGGCACCAAAGCTGAAAAGATACGGAGAGTCTCGTTGCATGTGCTTCGCGGGAACCATGGTCAACAGGAAGATACGAATGAGTTTACTGACGAGGAGACGAAGGAATGTGGAACGGAAGATGACAGCGAGGAAATTGACAGCTCAGGGGACGATGAAAGTGAGGAGGTTATTGTCCTTGCAGAATTGTTAAGTGGGCCTGACTCAGACCAAGACTCGATCACAGCTTCATCACGCGAACGGGAACGTTATAGCATCGATGAAATTGACAAGATATGGTTTGTCTTTCAAAGCGATTCAGATGAAGAGGAATTTTATGGTTTTGATTGAGTTTGCAAACAGTTGACTTTTTAAATAATTAATTTGGGTCGCTATAACAGAACCTAATATGAAACACTATATTATAAATCCGTTTCATTTTTTCATGCCCTGTGGACATTAGTTACCAGTCTTCCCATGTCTTGCTGCTGCAACAGAGTCCTAGAACAAAGTTTTGAATGTCCTCGTGAATGTCTTGCGAACCTGTTTAAAAACATGTTTGTGGAAACTTACTCCTTTAACAAAATGTCGAAAACTTTCAAGGGAAACGTTACTCCACAAGAAGTTCTATTTGGAGAGGTTGGAAAACTCTGAACACTTCTTGCAAGTCATTTAATACGAACGGTTATATATCCGTGTTCAAAGATATATTTAGGACTTTTTCACTTATTTGGCAAACGATGAAATGCCTCAAGCTGAATGGCATTTGTTTACGTGCACTTTTCACAGATGTTAATAAATTATTGTTTGTAATCGCTGAACTCATTTGATAGCCATTTGCTGATTCGAATGGCGAACAGCTGTGTATTTGATCCGAACATGCACTAGTTGCTCTAGTCGTAAATAAACATTGAATGATTTTCACAAGGTACTCACTTCAATTTGAATGGGCTTTGAAAAATTTGACCCCAAATACTGAACGGGCTGCGAAAAAACAAAATGCCTTTTGGGCGGGCTTTAGAAAGAAAGAGGAAGGCTTAATTTTTTTCCCCGACCCGGTCATCCTCATAAATAATGAACCGTCCCTAAGTAACTAGCATCATATTAAAGGTACAGGTAGTCACCATCATCAACTCCATACACGAGGTTACCTTGATCAGGACCATAAGTATTTTCCACAGCAGACTAATTAGAGTTGTGAACATCAAGGATTCCATTAACATAAAGCTTCCGTGGTGACAGGCCACCTCTTGTCCTTATACTGTGGTTATTCCATTGTGCAACAAAATCCTCCAGGGCAACATTAGTCGTGGTTATACTAGCCCTTTTACCCATGGGTAAATAGCGTTTGCCCACGGGAAAAGACTTTTTTGTGTGTAACCGCTTTTCCCAGACTGAAACTGCCCTAGGGTTATTTCCATGGATACATCAAAAAGAACAAAAGAACTTCCCATGACAGTTCCTGAACTGAAAAGTACGGTTTATCTGTTCCCTGAGGTGGCTTGGCCAATCATAAAGCAGAACGCAGCTAATACAGGAAATTGCGTGAGGCGCTCTGAGGTGACCTCTGAGGCACTTGGCTAATTTCGTGCCTACTTCTAGCACGAGGTAACATGGCAGGGTTTCGTGCATCACTGTGAGTATTTCTTTCTTTATTTATTTTCATGAGTTTGCCCTTCAGACTGCCAGTTACGAAGTTGATTAAATTATAATCTTTCTGTTTATCTGTTTATAGGAACGCTAGTCAAAATGAAGATCCCTATTACAACGGATATTTATTTGTGGCACGAAATCAAACAAAGCTGCAGGGAATCAACAACACCGGTAATACCGTGTATGGTGTTAGCATGGTTCAAAATCAGCCTCCACTGCATTATCCAGCGATGTTAAATCCCTACCCAATTTACCAGAACCCTGTACCCGGTACTAGAAATCACCTTCAGTTTGAACCAGACAGGGACAGCGCTAGTCCAACTCCAAGTGAATCCTCGAACCGAAGCGACGATCGTAACAAGCGCAGTAGCTGGTTGTTGACCCAAGAGAGATGCTTAATTGCCGCTTTTAAGGAGTACTACGATAGACTTAAGTCTACAAAAAGCAGTCAAGCCAAAAAAAAAATATGGGTATATATTTTGAAGCAGTTTCAAAGTATGTGCTTTGACAATGGTGTGGAATCTGAAAAGTCATTAGCCCAGTTAAAGGAGAAGTGGCGGGCGCTCTTGGATAAATACAAAAGCGTATGTGATAACAACAATTGCATGGGAAGGGAACGGAAAACGTTCAAGCACTATGAAGACATCGACGAATTTATGGCTTCATCAGACAAAGTGAATCCAAGATTTGTCAAGGAAACGAAAGCCCACCGACAGGATTGTAGCTCTGATGATACCGACAATATTTTATCGACCGGAAATCAAGATTGCAGTAAGAAACCAGAGAAATGGCCGCCCAGCTCTGCTGGAGGAGATAGTGCGGATGCAGAGACAACTGGAAAAACTTGGCAAAAGGATGAAAAAGGACCAAAAAAGAAGAAGAAAAGGCTTAGCGGCGATGACATGGAGCTAGCAATCCTTGACATGATGAAGTCACAGCAAGAAGCCATCCAAAGATCCGAAGAAAATGACGAGAGAGTTTTTGAAGCTCTCCTCAAATCTCAGGCAGAAGCGCAGCGACAACACCAAGAATTTGTTGTGTCTGTGTTAGGAAAACTCGGAGACATATTTGCTTCCAAAAAATAGGTTTAACTCAGCGCTTTTATTCCAAAGAAAAAAGGAACTGTTTACATGATTGTTGCAAAACTGCAAAAAGAAATTTTAATTGATCTTGAATAGTATTTTGGACACTAAAATACACAGTGCTGTAAAATGGTTACAACCGCTGTTTCTTAAGTATAATAGACGTTACAGTTGTTTAGCAAACAGAATTTTTATATTTCCTGTAATTATCCCGTGTAAAATTCTACACCATTTTTGATTGATTTTATATTACTATATATATATACATATTTATTCAATCTGCTGTTACTTTCAGGTTTGGATCAATGGGATCAGATATATGGTTGGTTAAATAAATTGCAAAGCAAAATATAATCATTTCGTAACCTTCTATAATTTAGGACGCAAAGAGGACAAAATCAAGGGGATATATGTCTATTGATTTGCAACGTATTGAACAAGGGCTTGTAGAACCGCAGCTGCAGCCTGGGAGGGGGGGCCGCCGTCGTCATCATCATCATCATCGCTATCATCATCATCACTATCATCTATGTCAAGTTCATCTCCTCGTAAAACACAAATGTTATGTAGCACGCAGCGGGCGATGACAGTGTCAGGTATTCTGTCACTGTCTTCGTCTAGGCGCTTAAGTAATACCCTCCACCTTCCTTTGGTCATACCAAATGCATGTTCGGATACTATTCTCGCCTTGGATACCTCTCGGTTGAAATTCCTCTGGTCGCGCGTAAGCCCACCGTTATCCTTAAATGGTCGGATGAGCCAGGTTTTGTTTGGATAAGCAGTGTCTCCCACGATAAGTGGGCGCACTACAGTTCCGCCTAAGTCAAATGTAGGTTCCATTAGGATATTCTCATCTTCAGCAGCCCAATAAACGTCAGTTAAACGCAGCATCCGAGCATCATGTAGACTTCCAGGAAAACCAGTGGCCACGGATAAATAGAGGCCAGAGGCATCAACTATTCCCTGTACTAAAAAACTGTAGAAATGTTTCCGGTTAAAGTAGTCTTCATGGTTAATTTTCGGGGCCTTAATAGGTACATGGCTTCCATCTATTGCTCCAACTACATTAGGTAATTTACTTTTATTGTCGAAGCCTTTAATTTTTTTAGCTATCTCTGCTGCAGTAGAAGGAAATTTGATAAACTCATCTTGAAGTCGGCATATTTCTTGAACAAATTCATGGCAACACTTTACAACAGTCGGTTTTGCCAACCCAACCATCAGTCCACACGAGCGGTAGCACTCTCCAGTAGCTAGTCGCCAGAGGCTTGCACCGACGCGCTTTGGAACTTGAATGGCATCTCGCATCCTAGTGTTTTGCCGCTGGAGTGCCGGTCCAATGAGCTGGCATATATATTCAAAGGTATCACGCGAAACTCTAAAGTTTTCTTTCCACCAGTGATCCAGTGCATGGTTATTTAGAAGTTCCTGAAACCAGTTCTGTGGTCGTGGAAATACCCAAGCTCTTCTAGACCGGCGAGCAAATTGGCGACGAGCTCCTAAATATAATAATACAACGCCGACAAACCTTGCAGGTAGCGTAATCGAAAGCGCCTTCTTCGGTGTCTTCTCGCAAAAAACTGCTGGACTGTTATGTTTATGGAAGACTGTCGAATAATAAGCAGGAGAACACTGAAATTAAGCTTACTAGATCTCGATTCGTGTCATCCATGTTGATCTCCACTTTTCCTGCCAATTCACAAGGTCAGTTAGCTCATATCTAATTATATTTTACCCTGAGGGGTGTCTTTTACTGTGTAACCGCATCCCCAAGGGTAAAGTGAAACCTGAGCTAAACCAAACCCAAGCCATCTACCCTCTGGAAGACCCCAAACCCAAGGTGTGTGTAACCACTACTATTAACTCTAGGAAGATAAAGTGCAATGCAAACAAGTGCTGTTCATTATCGCGTTGAATTATACTTTCAGATTCCATGTAGAACAATAAGTTCTGAAAGCTTCTCAATACAACCCGGCATACATCGCCCGCACAATCAAATGTGGTCTGCTTAAATTTGGTGACAAAAATGAATCCCATAGAAGAAGTCTGCCTTTCTCTACTACAAGATCAAACCAACGATGCCGCATCCATGACGGCTAAAATGAGGAAACGAGAAGATTTACTGAAGGTCATCCAAGAATGCAAAAGGGAAGTGATACAACTTTTCGACAACCTTTAGCAAACAGTAAAGAATGAGATAGGTGACAATTTGCCGCGACACTTCATCCG